ACAGAATAATAAACAAGATATGTATTGTTCTTACATGTATCTATCCATTGTCTTATGAATTGCTTTAAGGTATTAAAAGGTGGAGGATNTGAGACAGTATTTATTCCAGTTTTATCATTTAAATACACTGACAGTAAAACTAATGGACTGCTTGATGCTATCACGTCACCTTTAAAATATTCAGGTGTTTGTTTATTCTTTTATTATTGTTTAATAGCATTGCTATTCGTCATATGCTTTGTTGTTTAGGTGTCATATTTACTAGTCAGACAGCTGTCAATGCCCTTGTAGATATGATTGAAAAGGAGAAATTAGTGATTGGTATGTTAACACAGAATTATAGAGACAGATGGCGAGAGAGAGGAAGTCCATATATCTATTATTATCACTGTGCAGTGTGGACATAATGCTTGTACCAATGTGTGTTAGTGTATGGACCATATATCAGAGCATTATATTACTGTGTATAATGTAGTGAGTGGATCATATTGAGTGTATTATTAGTAACACGATAGCGTTACTATAAGTAGGATTCATCCTAAAATAAAATTAATTTATAGTATACAGCACATTTATGTACCTGTGTTTATGTAGAGGCTGATAAATGGACTGTTGTTTTTGTGGTTGGACCATCTACCAAGGAATGTGGTATGCTGTCTATTTAATAATGACTCCATGGTTAATTGAATTCTTCTAGTTGAGCGTCAGTTAGGATTACAAGTTACAGCTGGTGGAGTAGCCGGTAATGCACAACTGCTGTCTTCTATCATTATTGAATGTATGTGCTTGTACGTATGATTGATGAGGGTACACACATTCCCTGCATGCATTCATATTGATGTCATTTTGCCGAGAATTAAGTTTGAGTTAATTTTGATCAAATAAGATGAGTGAGATAAATAAATTATACATATTGATGTCCTTATGCTCCGTAGAAAGCTTGAGCCGATTCCGAGCTCGAATTCTTGATTTATGGCCATTTTTAAAATGAGCCGATTTCTAAAAAATACACTGTACTATAGCCCATGGTTTTTCCCAAAAAATGGCTCCAAAATCACCCCCCATTTTTATTACATTTTCTGATGCATATTGATATACTTATGCTATGTAGAAAGTTTGAGCTGATTCTGACTTCAAATTTTCAAGTTACGGCCATTTTAAGAAAATTTCAAAATTTCGAAAAATACCCAAGGCTATAGCCCATGCCTTTTTCCAAAAAATGGCTCCGAAATCACCCCCAGTTTTTATTACATTTTTTGATACATATTGATGCACTTATGCTCTGTAGAAAGTTTGGGCTGATTCCAACAAGAAATTTTTGAGTTATAACCATTTTAAAGAATGAGTTAACTTCTAAAAAATACCCTGTACTATAGCCCGCACTTTTTCTTTAAAAATGGCTCCGAAATTACCCCCTATTTTTATTAGATTTTCTAATGCATACATGTATTGATTAATGTCCTCCTGTAGATGTAAAGAAGGCTCCTATTGACAAGCCGTTCTTGTTTCCCTGTGGTAATATGAAGAGAGATACTCTGCCTGTGAGTCTATCAGAGAATGGCATACCTCTTGAAACCATTGAGTGCTATCAAACCATACAAGACCCCAACATTGAGAGTGAAATCAGCAATAAGGTAATGACTACTTACACTTTAACTTCTTGGTATTGCAGATATGCTTTGTGACCAATCCTAATATTATTACTAATATTATTATCAACTGACACGTACATGTAGGGTTATACATATTCTGTCTAATTATGATCGACGCTATAATTCTATTATTATTATAATTACTATTAATTGTCTAGTGTCATAAATGGA